AGTGAGAAGTCCAGATAAATAATGAAAAGGAACCGTATCTCTGCGGAGAATATCGGAAATGTCTTCTCTGTTGGGATTCATTCCTCTGGCTCCCGCTGTGCTAAGGACTCTCTTATGTGTCCAGATTCCCCACAGAGGCGTTGATTAAGTCAAGCTGAAGGCCGAAGCCCCCAGCTTACTCAGTAAGCTATCAGGTGACCCGTCTCTCTTGTTCGCTCGCTCTCCACTCAGATGCTGATGCTGAGAGGAGCTATTAGAGCCTCGCCCGCAAAAAGGCATTCTGCGGGGTGTTGATAACTGGCTGGTACCAGGATGTGCAACGGGGGAGCGTAGCAGGGATGGGTGGGGAAAGGATATGGCAGTACAGGGAGGCGGAGGAGGGTAAACGATCTCTGAAGGCCATCTTATTAATGGAGGCTTTTCATTACTTGCACTAATGCAAACGATTGGTGGGGCTAATGAGCGCCAAGGCATGTGTGTGTGAACGAGGGCTCTGTGGAGCAGAAGTGTGTGATGATAATAGACATAGGTGGAGATGAACATCATATCTGGTGAACGTTTGGCTTGTACAAGAAACAGAGGAATAGAGTGAGAAATGGGTAAATGATGAGGATGATGCGTTGCAAGTCAATTGGGCACTTTCTGAATATGGCACACTGCTACAGGCAAGCGGGTACGCGATGAATTGTGTAGGGGACAAGTGTATTTCACTGTTGATGGATTAAAGTGAGGTAGAGCGTAGCAAATGTCTTGGCATTCTCTCAGTGTGTGAAGCTCTTAAAAAACGATGAGGCGCAGAACTTCATTTGAACATGCAACATCCCCTTTGTCAAATGACATGGGCGATGCACGATATTGCATTTATACTCGTTACCAAACACAAGTATAGTAGCCCATAAAAATGCTTTTAGAGAGTACTGCATTGTGTTAAAGACACCCTCTGAGGTTGCTGTGAGCCTTGCATGTAGAGGGATTTAGCCCGATTTAGAGCGTGGTGTGTACAGGATCAGTTCTGGCTCAGGAGTGTCTCATGCAGGCTCTCTCTGGGGAGCAGCGAGGGAAAGGACCAGAGGCCACTGATTGATGGTCAAGGACACCAAACCCCTCCCCCAGCACCCTCGCCGCAACCCAGAGGAGCCCATCTCTGAAGCTGTGTCCTCAGGGGGATTTGGATGCTGCCTGGCTGGCTGCCGCCGCCCATGTGTGTCGCTCGTGACAGCTGCCTGCTCGAAGGATACAACTAACTCAAGGGATGAATAATTCGCTGGACGACGTGAATGAATCGGAGACTCAATCCAACATGAAAATTATGGAGATCTTCTCATCTCTCTTTCACATGTGCATTACACAACATGTGTTAAACTTCGGGGCAGGCATACACAGGGCTAAGGTTCTCCAGAATGGCTTCCACAAAGCCAGAGTGGCGGTTAGAGGGCCAACAAGAGGGAGGGAGAGGAGCTCACACGATTACCTAATGAATGATGATGTTCCAGTGAATTACCACTGCATAACACTCGAGATGGCACTCAACACAAACCCTGCATCGAGTGTCACTGCTGCATATTTCAGTATGATTCATTATCTATGTCAACAGTGACTGAAGTTCAGGGCCTTAGCAGTTGTTGTGCATATGATATGTGGCTGACAAAACTGCTGTCGATGGAGATTGGGGGGGAAGGGAGAGGGGGGAGAGTGTGGCTCTCACTCCCGCCACACTATTTAAAGCAGATGGCTCTAGTCCAAAGTCAAAGGAGAGAAGCAGGGATTGTTATTTTCATATGACTCTTGCTAGAGCTGGGGAGGGCTCTAGTTTTTCATTTCAATCCAGTTGCAAAACTGTAATTGAAGCATATCGCTTTCATCTCCACTTATCTCTACCACACCTCTCCCTTTAGAGCACAGCTTGTCTTCCCTGCGTCTTGACACTGTTGGTTTCTCTATGATATATTGTCTGGGATTCTGGTACTTCATTGTAGCGCCATGCTGATGTACATGGTAATTAAATTCAAACCCCAAAGAGGTAGATCTCAGTCAGAAGTCCCCCCCCCCCACTCCCTTCTCTTCCTCTCAGCTCTGTCCGCTGCTGCTGCTGCTGCTGCTGCTGCTGCGTTGTTTTCGCACCCCTTTCAGTCACTGTCTTTTTTTCTCCCAAGCTCTCTCTTCCCTTTGATTCACCATTCTTTCTCCCCGTATCTGTCTTTGCTTTCTGCCTCTTTCCTTTTCTGTTCCCTTCATGTTAATAAGCAGAGTAATGAGTAATGGTGTTGCAGGCTGGTTGAGGAGTTAATTAAAATGGCAAGTTCCAGCCCACACAGTCAAAACAATGGAGGGCCCTGCTTTTCAGAGCGACACACAGAGAGGTTAAACAAGCCCGAAATCAAAGACTCTGAGTGGGCAGGCACCTACTAACACCGTCCACTCTCTAGCACAACTCCATTTAACACTGAGGGGTCTTCTGTTACTCTCTCCAGCCAAGTCAACATTAGAACACAGATCCAGTAATTCCCTTCCCTGAGCTGCTGCATAAAAGCATTTGTGTGCACGATATTAATGTGATTACTGCAGCATTGATCAGATGAGAAAGTGAACAAGGGATATAGTGGCATCTGCCAGTTCCCCACCCACCACCACAATAACACACACAAACACAGACAAACACAAATACACCAAATGATTCTGCTAGCGTGGCTAGCACAATGCAGCGCACTCAGGCTCCGGCAACAGTGGGCTGGCTGAGCAGGACAGGAGCTGTTGCTATGGTTACCATTTCTCGCTCGCTCTCTCACAGCCTAGGAAAACTGTGTCATTATCCTGTACTTTGGATAGGAGAAGAGAGAGAGAGAGAAAATGAGAGAGACAGAGGGGAGGGATACAAAGAGAGAGAATGAGGTAGAACAGGGAGACAAAGATAGAAAGGAGGCAGAGACGATGAGGGGGGGGGGGGGGGGGGGGGCTGCAGTTCATACAGGCCAGCCATGCAACTAACACACACATCATCCAAATTTGCACCCATTTGTGCTCCTCTATTCACTTCTTTTTTTATTTTTTGTCGCTGCCAGCAGAGCTATAGTTTTCCCTCTAATAGGTAAACAACTTCAGTGCTTAGAAGTAACGGGTAGAAGCAGTGCTGTGACAGGTGATAATGGGATATGTGTGTGTGTCCTTTTTCCCTTTCTCTTCCTCTCTCTAGCATCTCACAAATTGTCACCAACAAGCTATCATTGTGGCAAATAAGATCAATCTGTGAACCATTGTGTTTATTTTAACACACCAACAGCCATATGCCACTCTGATGACACCCAGCTCGGGTTCTTATTGAATAAACACACGGCCAACAATGAGCGCAGCACAGGGATAACAAATCGTCTTGTTTGCAAAAATGTGTAACTCAGAGACGTTTCTAACATCAGAAATACATGAAGAAAAGGGCTTTTATGTGTTCATGAGGGCATTTGTGTGCGTGTGTGTGTGTGTGTGTGTGTGCAGTATGCCTGTGTAGTTATGTAGTTGTTCGGGCTGTGTTTGTGCAACGTGAGGTCCAAATCATAGGAGTTACACTGTGAACTAATTACATGGCCGTGTAAATAGAGGCACCCTGCTGATATGGGCTGTGCACCACATGATTTCCCCTGGTAGAGCAGAGCCTGTTTGCACTGCCTTGGTGTGTGTGTGCGTGCGTGCGTGTGTGCGTGCGTGTGATTTGTACATGCAGGTGTGTGTTACTGAGTGTGTGTTTGTGTGTGCAGGAGCGGAGTAGCCCTTCCAAATGAAAGGCTGCCCTCTCCCTCTCTGCCCGCCTGACGCAGCTCTCCAGACACACCTGTTTATCTTACTGTGGCTTTTTTTTTGAGAGATGTAGTTAATTCCAATTACAGTTACTTTTCATGTTAAATCTTCTGAATAGTAACACAGGTGTTTTCAATCATGCAGGTTGACTAGACCTCTACTCAGGTTAGCGTTGGGTGTAGCTGTTGACATGTTTTACCTTTTTGTTTGACATTCCATTATTTGCATTTGATAACAGTTTGTGTTGTGCTTTTATTTTGACTTTTCTTTACTGTCTTCAGTCTTTGGTATTTTACTTCTTGTTTGGATACAAACCTGTTTTATTTTTGAAAGAAAATTAGGAATTTCTGGTAGATTAATGGAGGAAACATTAACATAACTACAGGGAAATAAACTTTTTCATTATTGAAAAGTATGGTAAGTTAGAATATCTAAAGGGACCTGTCAACTGGTCAATCACTTCATCTCCTCATCTGATATCAACCTATGCACACTGCCTCAGTGTAAATCCTGTAAAAATAATCTACTTTATGTAAATTAATCCATCTGTTACCTTATTACATTATAAATACTTTATTATCCTGTTCCTTTCAGAATCTTTTGATCTATTTATCACTGCACTTCGGTATTATTTAGCCTTGTACATATTTGTTTGTTTGTTGTTCATATCTAATGTCATACTTCTGTACATGGACAGCACAGTTTACTGAAGTCAAATTCCTTATATGTGTAAGTAAGCAAACCTGGCCAATAAGGCTGATTCTGATTCTGAGCTCTCTGGGATTTTTTGGGAGTGAAAAGATCCATTCATAGATGCTGTTGTGTCTTTTTTTTCTATGACTGTGGCTACAGCGAGACGCTGCGTTGGGTAAGCTATGCTGCGCCCAAAGGGACAAAATAGCACACAATTTTTAAAAATGAGAGCGTTATTAACGGACCTTAATCGTATCGTGATTCACGGGTTAAAGCTGACAGCTCTATGAAATATATTCCTTTATCTAATGCGATGCTTTAACTTTGCGTTTTAACAAGTGTGGTCTAGTGAAAGTAAGTTTCTGTTATACAAACACAAAGAAAGAGTTGCTTTTTACAGTAATTGCAGTTCTTACAGATGTCATTTGAAAGCACCCTACAAAGCAAATGATAGGTGCTGCAGACTGAAAGTGAAAGTGCAATCACAACTAATCAGAGTCTCTCTTGTTTCCTGCCTACAGCGCCCAACACTGCACCCTATGGGAGCACAGGAAGTGCATACGTCCCGCTGGCCTGCCGGTACCTGGTCCTGGCCCTCTCCTCCTTCATCAGTGTGTACTAGCGGAGGCCAGCATGGACACAATGACTGTCGAGAGCATTTATGAGTCCTTTTTGACACTGCTGATGGCTGGAATCACATCTGGTACAGTTTGTTGAAAGGCCGTGAGGGGAACATAATCAGCGTTACTTTGTGTGGGGAAGGTTTTTTTTTTCTTTTCTTTTTTTTTTGCTTTTGGTGAATATTCTGTCATGTAAATACGATGGTGTTTTTTTTATTAATATTATTGTTATTATAATTTTTTTCTTCTATTTTTTCTGATAGACCACATTGTGAATCAGTGCTAATCCCTGCCCCCTCCTCACCTTTAATCATATCAGAAATCCCCCAAACGAGTCACTTAAATGCCTCTTCCTCTAGGAGGCCATGGCGCAAAATTGACATTTCCATTTGTTTTTGTACATGGCTAAAAGAGAAGCGATTGTGCCAAGTCTCTCAGTACACAGAATTACAATACCAATGTTGTATTGAATGTATTATGGGTTGTTGAACAACAGGAAAGACATTTAGATTCCTAACAGTACATATTATGATTATGGAGTGTGAATAAAAATAGAGAAAGAAAAAAACACAAAAAAATCTAAAAGAACAAAAAAGGCAGGGCTTTTTCAGGGCCTGTGTTGTCATGATTACTCAATAGATGGATGAACAGTGTTGAAAGTGTGCTTTGTTGTATTCTGAAATGGGTCCTTCGGTTACTATGCCTGCCGAACACATTTGATCAGGCAGCCGTCAAAGTAGCAAAGTATACTGTATTGTATGTTATATTTTATTATAGTATAGGCTTTTGTTCTGAAGTGGGACCAGCTTTTTCTCATCTGACCGACAATTAACACAGTTCATGACTCTGTACAGTACGAAGGGAGGAACATCGCTGCCCTATGTTTACATTTTTCTTAAGAATATTAATACTACAGTATATATCCATACTTTACACATACATGAATGTTGCAACAAAGTGTTGCAGTAAAGGAGAAAAAAGTTTTGACTATTTTACGCTTTTCTCTTGAGGATGCAGTTCTTAGAAATGTGCCACTTGCAATGAACATCTGAGCAGAGAGTTGAGTCTTTTGCTGTATCATCCTCTGAAAAGCCACAGCTGCACACTGTGGGCCACTTAAAGTCTCTGGCTTCAACCTTTGCCATGGTTCTTCCTGAAAAACAGATTCTGGGAAAGCACTATTCTGCAGCAAAACATTTTATTTCTTTGTTTTAAAAACATTTCAGTAAATATATTTACTTCGCTCTACCTATTAACAAAATAAAGAAATATCAATGAGTGGAAGGCCATGTAACTTTAAAAATAGCTGGCATTTACAGCAACATATTTGGTGCAGTCCAAAACAGTACAATAATGAAACCTGCTTTGACTCATAGGAGTCCTTCTTGTGTTATTTAGTAGAAAATAAAGCCTCTGAACATGCTCATCACAACTTACATGGCCTAAGGTGCTATCTTCAGAAAGCTCATCAGAGTCCACAGGGCCTGTTAACAACAAGCAGAGTAGAAAAATTAAGCCATGTGGTTGTTCAATAGGACTAATTTTGGCTTTTAATCACCAACACCGGCATTTTAATTCTCAGAAGAAAAAGTCATTATAAGTGTTTAGTTTCCTGAAAAGATGTTCATGGCTTATTCATCCTGGGTTTTCTTCAGTCCATGGTATAAACAGAGATACTGTAATGTAATGCCTTAATAGAACCATAAACATGGAAGTACGCTCATTTATGGGGCACTTCTAGAAATGATCAATCAACACAATTCATTTGTTTGACATATTTCTGATTATTGAATGTTCATAAACAAGTAGCTGACTTATCTTTCAAATTCTATTCAGTGAAAACTAAATATTTCTCAATCCATGCCTCCTGTAGGTAATTTGAAGAAAGAAAAAAAAAGCCAGTTCCATCAGATGAAAATGCAGTATTTGTCATTCAGGTTAACATGTTTGCAGGTCTTGTTTGAATTTGGATTGTTTAACATTTCTCTCCCCCCACCCCTGACCGAGGGACTAACAGTACCCCCCACCCCCTCACACAGTATTTTTCAAATGAACTTGTAACTGCAAACCTGTAGAGAAATAGCCATGGCAGTTAAAAGACTTAAAGCACAAACACTGTTATAACTTTAACGTTTTTGTGATGATTTGTTTCGAGGTCTGCTGAACATTTCTTTTCTTTTATTGTTTGTACTGAAATTATTCTCAGCTTGTTTTACAAATTATTAAAATACTGCACCATATGATCTTGTTTAAATGTTAAGGTATACTGAAAATGAGTCAAAGTATATTTATTCTCTTCCTTTATGAAAAAAATGTATAAAAATAGATTTGAAACATGTAAAACCGGATATGTGACATTTCTTTGAATGGGACACAGTATGGCATAGTTTATAATGTTGTCGGGTTCATTTAGATGCCATAACTGTTGTTTTTTGTCAGAAAGATACATTAAAAAGAACAATGTTTGCAATCAAATTACCTAATTTTTGAAACGGAGAGGGTGTGAACCAATATAACAGTATTATAGATCAGAATCAATGTATGTATATTTGGAGAAAATAGGATACCTTTTGATCTGTAGAGCCAGTGTGTAGTCCTAGTTTTCACACACTTGCGTGTTTGACGATGTGCAGAGAGTATGGTTGTGCTGCATGTCCAAGTTAACCTGTGTTTTTTGAGGTGGCCATTTTACAAATATTCATACTTCTTATGAATGGAGCCAAACGTTTGGTTCTTAAAGCTGGTCTAAAAATACATACTTCCTACAGACCACCAGGCTACGTTTGTTTGTGATTTCTTTCAATCAACTTTGCTGATTATCTTTAAGAAGAAAAAAAAAACTGCTGAGTCATGATGGTTATTATTGTGGCACTTTGGTGACAGTCTGGAGTTCTGTTGGTTGCTTGTCTGAGCAGTTAAGACCATGCTAGTATTCCATTATGAAATGTACTGGATGTTTATTATTTTTGAATAATGGTATTAACAAGTCCCTTTTATCAAATCACTATTATTTGCAATAAAAGTCTTCATGTTACACTATGAACCCTCATCTGAGTTTATGAGCACTCAAAAGGGTTGTGATCACAGGGACAGGGTGTGAGCAGGTGCAACAATGTCCGACTTTAAATACAACATTTCTGTCTTCAGGTTTTTCCTTGGTTTTATTTTAAAGGCTGTATCAACATTTATTTTCATACTTACCTTAACAATACATTGAACTCTTAGCTCTTCCAAAGGAGTGCATAAAAGAAGTGAACACAGCCACCAGGAAGTCACCTATTGGTTTATGAACGGATGCTTGGGAGTCTAAGTAACACATTTTAACCTTAGATGTTTTCTGACATGACAGTTAAATCAATTTAGATGCTATCCAATCTCTGAAACATAAATTGTCAGACTTGTCTCACCAAATGTATTTTCATTGTTACCTGAAATAACCAATGAAGTAGTGGCTACCACTTATTAGAACAATGAACTCTTCAGTAAATTGGTCATGTTGTTTACTACAGGATATTAGTTTCATTGAAGTTGGCCTACAGCAACTTACAGCTTTTTGCCATTTGCACAGGTTAACTTTATCTTCTGTTTAAACATACAAAATATCAATACAAATTCTTCTATGAACACATTGCTGTGTTTGAGGTTGTTCAGCTTTCACGGTTTATTTATAGCCACTTCAGAAACTATTGGTCTCATTGGAACTTTTTTCCTGGACAAACCTTGATGAAACCCTTCTGGGACTATTCTTCAGGCTTGAGGGGATGTGTCTGTTCATACTGTGCAGCCTGAGTTAATCAGTCATCTTAATTTTGCCGTATCATGCATATTTGATCCCCTCCCCTCTACCCTTGAACGCAGCATAAATCCTCCTGAGTCCAGATGGCCAGCAGCCACAGCACATACAGTCGGATTAACCCTGTTTGCATTGCATCATCATCATTGACTGGAATACGTCGCTCAGTGTAAATGATCTGGAGATATTTACAAACCTAAATCACTGCTCATCCCAGCCCATAATGCATCTGGGGGCCAGTTTTTCCTTTTTTTTCCCCCTCCAGCAGCACAAGGCTTTCATGTATCCTATGACCTGAATACACTCTTAACTTAAACATCCTCGGTTGTTTGACCTACCTCGTAAAAAGAAGAGTCATGGTGGTGTACAAGTTAAAAAGAGGCATCACCACCCACCTGCAGGGATCACTGCCTCACCTCACGCTCTCCACCCAGGGAAAAAAAAATCTCTTCACTTTTAAATTTAAGATAAGAGGATTTTAAATATTCATGCCAGTGCGTATTATTTCGGCCCCTACAATCTCCACCCTGAATTTTTAAATTGCCAATTTCTAAGCATCCTCCTGCTCTCACCTCAACGTATCAGACACACACTGTTCTGTTTGAGTGCATTCCTTACAAGTTTGTTGCATTATGAAACAAAATCTGTTTAAAGAGAGTCTCAGAGGGGGACATGTACTGTACTGAATGTGCCTTTAAAGTATTTCATCAAACATAAGAACATAGAGCATTAATGCCACAAGAAGTTGAAGTTTATGTTTTAAGCTTTGAAAATCATAAAATGATTGCTTACTGAACTTCTCCCTACATTGTTTATAAAATTGACTGAACAGTTACAATGTCAACATACATAAGAAAGTGCCGATTTAACTCCTTCAGCTGTTTGAACCTGTTGAAGATAATTAGTTTCATTTAACAAAATAAGGCTCATCAGTTTTTTTTTTCTTCTCCTTGACAAGCATAACCCCCGGGTAGAAAAGAAAAAAGACAAATTCACTTGAAATAGTGAACTTCTATCCAAAGTAAATTCATAAGTAAGAAAGTTAGTAGTAGTGAAATGTATTAATGAAAGAGGGAAACCGAACAAGGCTAAAAATCTTCCTCATTCTAGATATGATCAGTTCATACTGTAAAGACAAACGTCCTTACTGTTGTCATATTACTGTACTTTTTACTAATGGGCGGATATATATATTTTCTGTGATCAACAGACTGTACATTTTTTTGTCTTAACATGTTCCTGCAAGTGATGCACTGATCCAACTTTCCAAGTTCAGATACAGATCTGATACCTTGCCTTTGGGTATCTTCTGATACTGACTACGGCTCAGATACCAATATAAATATAACTATAAATAACTGTGAGGATGAGACTTAAATAAATACATATGGACTGGCTGAATTGTAATCACAATCAGCCCCACAATCTGTGTACCACTTGGCATGGCGTCACTCATCCTCTGCTGTCACAGTGAGCCTTCATAGTAGGAGCAAAGCAGCCAAAACTGTTAACTCCCAAGTTGTCCATGGCTTTTTCATGTCAAGTTAACTGATGAAGCATGTCTTTGATGGCAGTTGAAATCAAGGCGCTAGTGTGGGAACTTGTAGGCCAGGCAAAGTGCTCTCAGAACAAATATTTATGTGATGGCAAACTGTAGAGTGGTTCAAATTGTTTTGTTGCTTTCAAACCATCGCTTGGAAGTTGGAAGTTTCTTGCATCTTTGCAACGCATCTGACAAAGTTAACTATGTTGTTTTCATTTAGTCTCATCTGCTTTCTTTGTTTGGTTGAACTCGTTGCTCCACCACCCCTTGATATATTAGATTGGCAGACATTGCAAGTCGCCGCAGAAGTTGTCATCGTAACAAGATTGAAATACCTCCAATCTGCTGAGCCTTTGTCGTTTTCTCCTTCCATGCTATGTTGGCTCAGCTTAGCAATCAGCCCCATGGATCACCCCATTGTTACCAAGATCTGATGTAGCTATTCGAGTCAGTATCGGACCAATATCCAATACCAGGAGCGGATCGGTACATCTCTGGCTCCTACTGCAGTTCAATGAAAACATAGAATGAAAAAAGTGTTTAATCTAATTTCAAGATTTGTTTTTGAATATGTGTGACTGTCATTGTAGGCAACATGATTAAAAAAGATACTGTGTATTATATAAAGCAGATGTGGCGTTTACAGTCTTTAAAGACAAACATGAATTATTAAAGACAAGGACACATTTTGTATTGCAAGTTATACAAATATTCAACCTGTCTGTGTATATTTTCAGCAAATAATGCTTCATAGTCGGTAGTGAATTGACAACGAAATACTGGAATTTCTGGGGTTTTTTCTCTGCAAATAAATAATAGTTAAACAGCATTGTCCTACAGCAAAATTAAGGCAGTGTATGCTGCAGGTTTTTAGAAAAAATGTGCATGGTGTCAAAGTGTAGTTGGGCTCTTCACAAAGGCGTCTGCGGTCAGCAAGAACAGAGAGTGCAGAGGTGTTGCGAACCTGTGGTAAATGAAACCCTTCCTGTGCCTTTGTCAGATTTGACTGGGAGATTGTGTCATACTTACTAAGCACTGGAGCAGCTGCTGGGCTCCAACAGTCGCCATCCAACTTCCTTGAGCAGCATACTGAGTCAACAGTATCAAAAGGACTCTGTTTCTTGAGAGCTAGCATTCAGTATGGTAGATATGTTTGTTGCACAGCAGGAACATTTTCAAACGCCTGTCAAACGGAGGCAGAAAGAGAATGAAAAAGTAGATTTTTGTTCTGTGGAACTGGTCTGTGCGTTAGATTAATTCAGCTGTACATGGGGGGAAAAAAATCGTCTTCTTTTTTCAAATAGGCCACTTTCTTTTCTCTCAAACATTTCAATCAGTACACAAAATGAATCATTTCTGACTGGTGTGACTCTCCATTTCTTTGAAATCTCTCTGATAGTGTGGCAGCTGCCAATGTAGACGGGGGACGTGCTATTAAAAAGACGTTGCATCAAGTTATTTGTCAACCTGTCCCTCATTATTTCCACTCAACTGGAAAATAAGTTGCCAGGCGATGATGCAGAGCTGCAGATAATGCCGGGGTTCTAAAGTACGCTATCTAAGCCAGGCCTCTCCATGACACCGATGACTGAATCACAGCGCCGAGTGTGTTTTTGCGCATGAAGCTCCTGGGCAATTGTCAGTTTTCATGAAGGAGTGATCGGGGGTTTTCATCGAGAGAATGTCTTTTGACTGACGGTAAATGTAATCCTGTTTTATTTGTTTTCATGCCTCAAAAGGCAGATTACATATTGTTTTCTATACGCTGAATGACACAGCAAATCAGTGCTTTGTAGCAGCAGTTCATCATCATGTGTGTCTTCTTCAGTGTTGTGTTTAGGAGTGCCATCTGGTTGAGAACAGGTATGATGTGCAGCATTTCTTCTGTTTGCTTCTGTAAAATAAACACATTTACTGATGTCATTTTTTTTTTTTTCTTTTACAAAAAAATTGGAATGAGATTTATCGTTGACAGGATTGCTTATTTTCTTTCTCCATGTACTTTTTTTTTTCTCTTCTCTTAATTTGTTTTCTTGAAAGCATCATGCTGAAAAAATGATGTGATAAGACGTGTGGAATGGAAATGTTTACTCTCATGTGTATGACGGTCTTTTAGCCACCAGGGATGTAGTTGTACATTTATAGGCTCTAGATCACTGGAATGATATATATGGCTTTAAGTGGCATTGATATACCTATATATATAATATATATAAATATATATTGATATTTGTCCAGAAATAAGAAAATTCATGTACTTACTTTTTTCCTTTTAAGCTTACATTGTGTATAGCACGTATGCAAGTCCATTTTCATCCTGTTTGATGTGATTTTGTAGCAGTGGTTTGATACTAATAAATGGCAGTCGATGATGGAATTGTAGAATGTGTTTGTGTTGAACTGATGTGACCTTTTACAACAGAGACACTCTTGACAACACTGTCATGCCTTTTAAAAGAGGAGAGCGTTTGACTGAACGCACTCGCTCTGTATCCACACTGGAGGAAGATAATTTATTCATAAAAACATGTTTGAGACTAAAAATATCGAAGTTGTCCGTTTAATGAGCAGATTCTTTGTGTGATTTTCTCTCCGAGTGGCTGGAAGCAAAATAGTTCCTTGTTTAGAGAAACACTTTAATTATGTTAAGAAAAAAAACACTGTGGAAGTTTTTGTTTTTATTTTATTTCATGTTTTTTTTTTTTTA